TCAAGGAGGAGGAAACCATAGAGTTTATCTTATTTCATATTAAGAGCTTTCTTATTTACAAAAGAGCTGTGCTGTAAAAGGTTGATGTAACCCTATTGTAAACTGTGATGTGTTTTGCTTGAGGAGTAATAACATTCTGCTTTCGGTTAAAAAAAAACACTGAGGGCCAGCAGGCTGATTAACTGAGAAAGATTTCCATGATTGGTGCCCTTAAAAAGAAGAGGGGGATTATTGGAAAGTCAATACCATTTTCATCTCACATAAATCTGCGTGCTCGGTCAAACTAGAAACTTTATTTATGGACATAGGGAGTACTTATTTATTTAAAATAGCGATTTACTACTAGAGTGTTTTCCAGGGCGTTAGGTATATAGTACATGATTATTTTCAATAAAAGAATGTTTTAAATAATTTGATATCTTTTTAGGATGTTGTGCTAAAAGTCAAACACTGTTTTGTCATTCCTTAAATGATTAAGCACTGATAATGGTAAAAAGTTCTTCACGGCACTATATTATTTATTTTGGTTATTCAATAAAAGTATCATGGCTTCCCGTCATATGCTCTACTAATCTTTTTGCATTCACACACCTCAGCAAAACTGGTTGCAGATTGTAAGAACGTTTAGTAGATATCAGCCACTCTTTTATTACATTCCCTTGCACCACTCAACATTGGGCCATCTCAAAATGAACTTCTCACTTTTCTTTTTCGGGTCGTCTCATTATAAACTTCCCATTTCCTTATAAGGAAATGACTTTGTGGTTCATATTGTTTTTCTCTCTCTTCTAAGGAAGTACATTTTTGGATGGAGGGAGTGTTAAATTAATGACCCCTTATCCAGTCTTAATCCCCACTCTTGAAGTGTTTACTTTACCACTTCGTGTGGTTGGGTGTGTTTTGTCTTGTCAATTAAAAGGCATCTAGTCAAGCCAAAATGTTACCCAAGTCCAACAAATGCAACTTTTTAGGGTATTCGTGACTTCAAAAGTGATGTCAATTTTATTTCCCAAAACTGAAATGTCATTTTGTCTCAGTATATGAGCTTCATTTAGTGCTTTTCCAATCACAAGTCCAATTCGGCTCTTGGATACTTTGGGTGATTAAGTTTGGAATGATGTCTGTCCTATTCTCCTGCTTGTTTGACATATGACTTGCACGTCTTCCATCTTTGACAACAGCATTTCTATGGCATTTTTTTTGGCATTGGGCTACAGTTTTGATAGCTCTTGTACTTATTACCATTATATTTTTGCTACTATGTTGTTCACAGTTTAGGTTTTGTTTGTTTACCAGTTTGTTCTGTGGCAACTTTCTCCCCTTATTAGCATTAATATTTTTGTAAACAAAAACCACAAGTCCAAGTAGAAGCCCCATTAGACGTTCTTCCCGCACTTGTTTTTACATGTTTATGACGATCGTCCGTGTTATAGGAAATACTTTATTGGTTTAAGGACTGAGGTTGCACACCCCACTCGAGTTGTTCTCTCTTAGTGAAGTGTGCTCTAGACATTCTTGAAGAAACATGCATGCTAGACTGCAAACTCATAGACAAGCCTATGGCCCAGACTGGCTAACTCTTACTACGACACGGGGAGTCTATGAGTCACTATCCAATATGAAAAAGTATGGAGGATTTATTGGAAAATTCATATACCTCAAAATCACAAGATCGATTTTTTCCTAAAGAAAGTGTGCTTAATTAATATCTAAGCCAAGGGAGGTCATTGGGATGGTGCTATCCTATTGCTATCATCAATACGATACAAGGGAAATACTTAATTTTTGAAAAGTGAGTTTACTGTGGGATATTCAGATGCTGACTTGGCTGATTTCCCTACATAGAAATGGTCTACTTCCTGATATTCTATAATGGTTGGTGAGACATTGATCTTTTAGAAGAGTACGAAACATGACGCGGCTGCCAATGGATCAAGTGATGAAGAAAAATATCCTAGGTACATGTCCGCTCTTTTGGGTGAAGCATCTACTCTAGGTATTGAAGTATGAGAGTAAACCACAAATGCAATTTATGGTGTGATAATCAAGAAACAATGCACATTGCATCAACCCGATATATCATGAGTGAACTAATTATGTAGAGGTTGACTCGCACTTAATCTGAAAGTAGATAGTATCTACATGCATCATCATAGGCTTTGTAAACTCAACGTCTCATCTTGCAAATAGTTTGAAATCTATTACAGGTCCTATAAAGCCTATAATAGACTATTTCTAACAAGCTTAGTGCATATAATACACTCATACACTAACCCGACTTATGATGGGCCCTACCTGCTCTGCATTGTACTTGCAAAATATACCTCATTGTATAGTTTGTCTGTATGAGAAATACGATATACTTTCATATTTCACACACTCGGTTCACATAGAGTAAATTCAAGACAATTAATTTCATCATTGTTTTTTCTCATTCTTGTCTGCTGTGTGAATCAAACCAATTTGCAAAAATCAATAATTACAGTTCAATGGAACGTCTTTCTGTTTTTACTTTTTCCCTAGTTAATGCTTTCAGTCCGTTTTCATTTTATTTCTGTTTTTGCAGAGGAACTGCTGTTACAATGAAAAACATGTTGGAAACTCAATTTCCCGGGATCCATGTTGTTCTTTCAAATTATCCTGCCCCGCTTCCAAAACGTTTACTCAGCAAACTGGTACCCATTGTTCAGTTTAGCGTTATCGGTATTATAATGGCGGGTGATCAGATTTTTCCAAGATTGGGTTTTGCTGTTCCTCCACCATGGTATTACAACCTTCGTGCAAACAGATTTGGAACTATGGCAAGCACTTGGCTTCTTGGAAATTTTCTTCAATCAATGCTGCAGAGTTCTGGTGCCTTTGAAGTCTCTTGTAATGGTGAACTGGTAATGACTTTTATTTCTTTAGCTTTCCCACAATATTATGGCCATATGCGTACAATATAAATAGATGGATATTATGTTATCATTCTAGTATAGTTCTTATTTTTTGGTATCTCTTTGCTTAGACAGTATTTGTTCTAGAAATTTCTCTAATGATTTGCATTAAGTATCAAAGAAGCAACTAGATCAGAGAACCAAGTATTCCTTCTCTAGCTAAGGACTGAGGTTTCTTAAAAAGATTAAGTACTAAAGGAGCATATATTCAAGGACTTATTTGAGAGATTTGTACTCCGTATTTGTTTTGATCAAGTGACTTCCAATTCAAGTTAGCACATTTTTTGACTTTTAGCACTTCACATGTTGAATTGCATGTTATATACTTCATCTTATAATCTCAATGACAGCACTTGTGACATAATCCTTTGAAGTTATCACAGATGGATTCATCATTCTGAATAATTTTTCAGAAATGGTATACAAGTTGATTCATACCACCTAACAACTAATTTTCCTCTTTTTGATTTGTTATTGAACTCGTCATACTAAAGTCAATTGTGCTCTTAGATCAAATGTTTCTCAAAACTTGTGGTTCAGGTTTTCTCCAAACTAAAGGAGAAGAAGTTTCCCGGGGAAATTGAGTTGAAGGATATCATCGGCAGAAGAATTGCAAGGGGAAGGGTGATCGAGGAAGAGCGTCACACCGCTGTATGGTCCTAGAACTCCTCTTTTATTTTCATAAATAAATTGTATAAGTAAAATGATTGTTCCTATAGTTTATCTTACCTGATTTTGTAACTTTAGTAAACATAGCATGTTTCTCTTTCCAAGTACTGCATTCGCAATTTCTAAGTTGTCATTAAACTCGATGATGTAAGAAATGGGAATAATTTACCCGTAAGAAAGAACACCAATGATTTAAGGATAATTTGTTGGTATAATATACTCCTGTCCCAAAAAACTTTTTCTTTCATTTTTTATTTGTCCTAAAAAATGCTTTAACTTTCAATTATGATCTCCCTTTTACTTATACTATTTTTTAGTCTATGACATTATATTTTTTTCATTATTAAAAAAAGTATTACAGAGTATACCCTAAAATGAAGGCACCATTGGAAAGAAAAATCAAAACTATTCATTTCTTAAATTTCTTTTGTTATAAAGAGGAGAAGTTTTATGGGATGAATGTAGTACATGTGAATACTCCGTATAGTTTAAAGCCTGCTTCAAAACTCTCAGATGGATAAACTAGAGCTGTCAGCTTGTGGTAAGATTGTGAATGGATAGTCAAAAATTCATTTACTATCCGCCTATTTATGCATAAATAAAGATATTAAATGTCAAAGTATTATATTAATGTGTGTGAAAAGTCAAATGGGAAAAATTATAATAGACGGAGAGGGTATGAAACTACAATTGAATAAAAATTTAAAAGTATTAATGTACTTTGTAGTTCAATTTGACTTTGAAATATTAAAAATGGATAGTGATGTGCATTGTTCGGTCTGAACCCAAACCGACATGCAACCTTGTCAAGTCCTGACTGGACAGGTCCCTTTCCAGTCTGGTCTTGGATCCTCAATTTTTCCTTATTTGGTCTTCGGTCCAACCCGGTCCGACCTACTGGATTTTGCTCTGGGCCAATGGATTTATTAACCAATATGGATATCTCTAATCTGGAATAAACCTACACACCCAAAGCACCAGTTCATGATGAAGGAATATATGGTACAACCGGCTGTACCTAGAGATAGGTACATCTGGGCAGTACTCTTTTTGAAGTAAAGTAGTTTTCATTTTCGCACAAACATTACAGTTCATTTTGAAATAATGTGGTACTCATTCTAAAATAACGTAGTACTCATTCTGAAATAACGTCATGCTCATTTTCACACATTTGTTCAATATTCATTTACGAACAACGTAATACTCATTTTAAAACCTAGTAGGACTCATTCCCAAATAGCCTAGTACTTATTCTTAAATAACATATCATTAAATCTGAAATTTCTTTCTTCTACGCTGAAGATCAAATCGAATTTGAACAGTTTTATAGCTAATAGGAATTATAGCTTCACCGACCCATCAGATCTGAATTACAGTCATCGCCTATAGCGGATAGGAAATCCAAGCAGCCTCCGTCGCGGATCGGAAATCCAAGCAGCCTTCTTCATCACTTATCGTTTTCGTGCGTTCCTGCCGCAGGTGTTTTCTTCCCTTCGCCAAAATTAAACGATGGCTGTGCGATTCTTCCCGTACGGTCGAAGAGGTTTATGGACATTCAAGACACCTTTGAATTATGTGAAAAGGAAGTGGAAACCCAAGACCACCTCGTTTGGGACTGCAGTGCTGCCAAGGAAATTAGAGAAGAGGTTCTCAACTGGATGGAGATTGCTACTGTGGCAAAACAGAAAAGATTGGGAGCTAGAAATCTTGAGTCTGAGACAAAAAAAAAAGAGAAGGTAACAAATCATTTCAACCTGGGTTGCATGTTGTTCCATCATATGGAAGTATAGGAACAAAAGAACGCACAAAGAAGTATTGACCAAAGAAGATCAAGGAAATTAAGTTTTACATTACCTCTTAACGTAAAAACAAATTGAGTAGATAATTAGTAGTATTTTAACTGATTTTATGAAAACTTTGATTGGTTATTCATAATATTGTGCAGTCTGTTAAAAAAAATACAATTCTAAAGATATCTAAAGACTTTTTAATATGAAAAGTGCGAAAAAACTAAACAACACTTTTATATTAGAGATCTATTGTATTTCTAACTTAGATACCAATACTATAACTTAAGTTTGCCATTTATCACTAATATCTAGATTTAACACAAGGTATGAGATGTGTTACCTTGTTAAAGTTAAATCGAAGGTTTACTGGTTATTTTGATTGACTTGTGGGATTCAGATAACATTAATATCATGTATACTAATTTGTCTGGGTATGGCCATACACTTTCCAAGTCACATCAATCAGTGGGCCTGTAGATATTATACTTCCATAAAGGAAGGGATAAATCCTATCTACATCATTCACATCTTTGCTTAAGTTTTACTACATGCCCAAAACATAATTATACTTCCACTAATATTTCAAATGACATTAATTATATCTCAAAGTATGTAGCTATGCTTACCAAAAATCGTAATGACTTCAAGTCTAAGGATAGTTATATAAATGGTCGTATGAAAATACTATTAACACATTTCAAGGTATACCCATATAGTATTTTCATGGCGGGTCAATCTAGCAATATATCCAATATGTTTGCCTACGTAAAGATTCAGATAACGCCTTATTTATAGCCTATGAGACGCAGCTAATCTCATACGGATTAGTCTTAATATATTATGACGTTCGTATTATCATAATATTCGACTAAGGATATTTTAGATCTAATCTCTATATTTGTAACAGTCTCATAATTAGAACATCGTAGTTTTCATCTATGTTACTAGAGCACTAATATATGGACTGAAGCTATGTCTAAAGCACATGAGATTATTTAAACATTCTTCAAAACCTTTATTCTTGAAATAATCCAGATATAAATCATAAGTTGTCCTCTAGGGTTTAAATATATTCAATAGATGATTCATGGATATCAAGTTGAGCGTTTTATCGAGATTATCGATATGACTAACATAGAATGACATGTAGGTATAGGAAATCATGTATTATAAATGATTCTAAGAAATCTAACGTCAGAACGAGTCTGGGGTACAGACCTTAGGTTCGTAGGGAATACAATGATCTTAACACGTACGGTTAACAAACGAATGTCACTATCTACTTCTAGCTTTCCTTGTCTTGACGTCTTCTCTTCGAACCTTGGTAATGGAGAGGTGAATGGCGTAAGAAGAGAATCAAAATGAGTATAATAACGATAGGAATTGAGTATACTCACTTACCTAGGGTTAGCTTCTCAAGCCTCCATTAATGGTGGAAGAAGCTAAAGGAAAAAGAAGAGTGAAACTTGCAGGTATTTTACTAAGGGTTGAGTAGTGAAAGTGTAACACCCTGCAACCCGGTCTATTAGTATTAATTAAAATTAATTAATTATTAGTACGGACCAAATTTGGGAAAAATAAAAATCAGAAAAATTATTTGATCACATCATAATACTAGTTTTGACTCTCTGATTCCAGAAACGCAAACGGATCTCGATTCGGCCCAGATCGGGGGGGAAAGCGTGCACTGTTTAGGTCAGTTTTATTTATAGAACATCCTTGGAAACTCCACCCCCTTATTTCACCATGTGTTTCACGACACCTCTCCCCTCCCCTTCTTAAATTCCATCTCCATCTTATTAAACCCATACAATTCCCCTCACCATTATTCTCTCCTATATTATATTCTTCACCAATTCTTCACAACCATCCATCTCCTCTTCTCTCCTTTGGAACACGAAAGAACAGTAGGAGCAGCAGCAGAGAGGACCCTGGGAGTAGACAAGAAGGAGGAAACTAGTCTGTTGTACGTTCGTGAGACGTGGTTCTGTTCGTAGCACTGTTCGTACTATTTACTCTGTCGATCAATTGATCATTCTAGAGGTGAGTACGTTGCCCCTCTAGCTTTAGGATTCAAAGTTATATTCAATATAATACGTTCATAGGACTACTTGGCATAACTTACGCTGAATCCGAATGATCGTAGTTTTCTCGTGATAAGGACTTTGGTATGAAACTCGTTAAAAGAAATCACCTAGAAAGCTGTTGAAATCAATAGATGCTACACATATAACCTTAAATGTTTATTATAAACTCTCAAAGGGTTGAACGTAACTAGACACACCAAAACAAGAACCCGAGTGCTGTGATAATCCATTATCAGGTTTTGATAATCAATTATCTGGCCACCCCGAATTTTCTTTTTTGGAAGCAAAGCTTGATAATCGATTATCACCCAGTAATAATCGACTATCAAACTCTGCTAAACTTTGAGCTCAGAAACTGCTTAACTTGATAATCGATCATCACAAGGTGATAATCAACTATCAGGTGCTGCTAAACTTCAAGATCAAAAACTGCCAGGCTTGATAATCGATTATCAACACTGGATAATCCGAATAATCGACTATCAGCTAATCCATAACCCAACTAAGGATAACCATCATAAGAACTAAGGTCCAAATCAAAGTGTTTTAATAATAAAACCAATAACGGAATTGTTGATACATATGGATTACAAGCCAGGACTTAGTTTTCAAAATAAGTCTTCGAGGTCATAAGCCACGCATATTGTAAATGCATGATATAGGATCATTCATATAATGGCATATCCGCTTAGGAGGTCAGGCCTAGTGCGCCTCTTATAGCGGGCCCGTCCAGGAGCCTTCGGATCCAACGAGTTTCATTTGGATGGCTTGTGTACGTACATGGTAACTAGGTTTCAGTTACCACCCATTATTTCTAGACTCGTCAAGAGACTAAGGCTTGTCGAATCATCACCATTGTGGGATGATGTCGGAGAGCAGGGGGTCCCTGCATAGTCTAACTCCTACATCATATTTCATGTAGTCATTATGAGGTTCCCGTACTTTAAGTACAGGTATGGAACATTTGGTCAATATGTGAACCATTTGGTAGTTATGAAATTACGTACTTTAAGTACATGTTTAATAACAACACTTGGTCATTATATAAATTCCGTAGGTGAAATACATGTCTGAATGTGGGTGTATCTATATAGTTTATCACTATGTTTTCCTACAGCTAGTTCACCACTAAGCTTATGCTAAGCGTATAGTATTGTTTTTGCTATATGCAGGTAGGCACAATGAACATGGAACCTATCCCGGAGGGAAACGAGAGTGAGGAGATGTACAGACGGCCAATCATTATGCTTTTACCTTAATATTATTCCAATCGTTTTGGGCTTGAACCCACATTTGTTGCACTTTAAATTCATGGACTGAACTTACGATTTTTCTCTTGCTTCCGCGACTTAATGTTTACTTACTCCGTGTGGTTTAGGGAGTTAATCCCAAGTTTTTCTAGAACAAGGTTTTCAACTTTTCTTGAAATGTTTTCCTCAAGGATTTTACTACGGATGATCCTCAATACCATTTCTGTAACCTCCCCGGCCCGTTGGGCTACGTCAAACTGGGTTCGCGAGTTAGAGGGTGTTACAGAAAGAATGCAGTCTATAAGTCTCCTTATATTGATAAACAATGCAAGGATGCCTTGGATTATTTCACACACCCCCCATCAAGCTAAGAGCCAAATGTGATGAGAGGTGTGGTGGTTGTATGTAATGGGGGTTGGGAAACAAATTAGTGTGTGGGATGGGGATGATGGGAAGAAAATATTGATTATTTGAGTGGGGAAGTCCTGGGATTATATGGGGGAATGAATGTGGAATTTGGGATAAAATCCTTGTTGCGGAAGAAATAGTTTATCTATTTGAATTTCAGGTTATTTTACAAACGGAGTCTAATTTCGTAACCGATTTTGTATTTGAACTCAGAAAAATAAATAGAATCCAACAATGTATTAAAAATACTTTTCCTAAAATTTTTATTTTTCAGGCCACCGGGCCTACATGGTCAGAATCGACTATTTATGTAGTTAATTCTTCTAGACCAGTTTTCATGGCGTTACACCCATTGTAGACTTGGTGGTCATTATCATATGTGTCCTGATGTGGATAATATGCTGGTGGTGGTTGTGATTGGAATGGAGGACGGTTGGGTGATTGGTAGTAAGACGGCATGTACTCTGTAATACTCATTGAAAAAATTCATAATAACTATTTGTGGTTGGTGAAAAAGAATATATATATATATATATATATATATATATATATATATATATATATATATATATATATATATATATATATATATATATATATATATATATATATATATATATATATATATATATATATATATATATATATATATATATATATGAAGAGTGTTCTACGGCAACCACCCGGAACATTAGATTCAATTTCCAAACATATAATAAGGTATTTGAGCTCTTTTATTCCTTCTATAATCACAACTTCTGCATTTCTGATTTTGGAGCTAGAAGATATTGCATCTGGTTTGATTTGGAAACTGTTAATTGGATCCTAGGTTCTCTGCCATTTTTTTCGAAGCCTAGCTGTTGGGAAGTGTCCAAAACAGAGGACAATAGGACCATTTATCTTTCCAGTGGTAGCAATAAAAGAGGTAAATTTGTGGAAATCCAAGAGATTAGAAGAGAGGGCAGTACTTTCCTAGCTATCCTTTTTGATTCATTCGCTGATGGCCCAAATCTCTTCACCAAGGCTCTCTCCTTATTCACCAAGGGAGCTACCAACCTTGAGGAAAGCTCAAAGGTGTGTGTGTCTGTGGAACCCCAGGAACCTCTGCGCCATTCTCCCACTGGAAGTGCAGCTTCATCGCTGCCTACAACAGGACAGGATGTAAATACTCAGCGAAGTGGAGATGTCACAAGTTCAGAAGGCTTTGTTGGAGATCCCACCTCTGCGGTAACTAACAAGCAACTAGTTATTTTCCAGACAGAAGCAGCTCCTAATTACAGCCTTTCCACCAGCCAAATCGAAGAGTTTTCACCTCTACCATGGAAAATCCTTAGTCCTTTTGCTCCCACCTTTGTGCCCGCTGTATACTCCTACGCTGATATTTTCACTAAGGATCAAGGATTCAAAGCTACTGCTGAGCCGGAAGAAGATCCCTTTACAAATCTCAATGGCCAGAGCTTGGTTCTATCCCTCAACGCAGTGGAAGATCACACTAAGGACAAGGAAGGACCCATTCTCTATACCCACTCCGATGGGAAGGATTTTGTTTTCATAGACACAAAGCTCAAAACTTTTCAAATCGACTTCTCAAGATGCTCCAAACACCCCCTCCATCTCCGTAAGGAACTAAAGGGAAGAAGGACGTACTCACCGTCACAAATTGTTATGAGGAGTAAGGCTAAAATCCTTGAGCAAGGACGAAAATTTAATCCTATCGGCTGGGTCGAAGAAGAAGACTTGTTAGATCCCCAAGAATCACATGAGGACGAGGTTATCAAATTCTTCAAACTTTGTTGTCCTAACAAGATAGAAGATCCTAAACCCCTCAGCAAACCTCTAACCAAAACTCAAAAAAAGAAAATGAAGAAGAAAAAGAAGCAGTCTCAATTTTCTGACTATAGTTTCGATGAAGAGATAGAATATGCTTATTGATTGACCTGCAATAATTTTTATTTCTCAAACCCCTCTCTTAAATTATCTACCTATTGTTTGTTACTGCATATTGGTTTCCAAGCCTATGTTTTGGAGTTGCAGCTCAATCCGTTTTAGAGCACTGGTTTTTCATCTCTTCACAAATGCCATTACCTAAGGGTAATTTCACAGCTGCGTTGGGATGCTCCTCCTAGGTAGTAGGTACAAGCTGTTCTTTGGGGAGATTCCCTCTCAGACCAATGTTTCTGTGGTATGCACTGATATCTTAGTTTTCTTCTAAATAATGAGAAATATGAGACCACAGCTGGCGCAGGTCTACCTCTTCCTGGTTTTTTTCTCCTATGGTTGGAGTTTAGCATCGTCTAAAATTTGGGAAATGAAGGTAGTTGGTCCTCTGTCCCTTTTTGCTTGGCTTGGAATTCTTCATGGTTGCCCAAGATAGATTATTGGCTGGAATCCATCTTTAAACCTGTATTCAGCATCTTGGGTCTTAATAATTGACCAAGGGTACTTTTTTACGACTAAGAGCTACTCAAATGGGCTGGAAATTACTGAAAGAGATTATTGCTCGGTCCCTTGGCCTGACAACATCATCATCTTCACAAGCTTTGCTCTTTTGTTTTATTTCTTTGGTAGTCTTTGGTTTTGATATTTAGTTGGTATTTTGTCTGGCCGGTTTGTAGGGGTTGGCCACCCCCCTCTCTTGTATTACTTTTTCATTTCCTATTAATAAAATCTACTTTACAATAATATATATATATATATATATATATATATATATATATATATATATATATATATATGGTTTGACTCCAACCAGATGACATGTTTTGGTAAGATGACACTTTCAGTGAGATGACATGCTTCAGAATGAGCACTAGCTTGTTTGAGAATAAGCACTATGTTGTTTTAGAATGAACACTTTGCTGAGCAAATTGGGAATTAGTATTATATTATTTTAGAATTAGTACTAAGTCTATAATGAGCAAATGTGTAAGAATGAATCCTACGTTGTTTGAAAATGAACCCTATGTTGTCAATTGCCTCACTTGGAATGAACACTATGTTTTTTTTGAAATGAACAGTACATTGTGATGAATAGTTGTGTGAAAATGAACCCTACGTTCGGTTAAAATGAGCATTACATTGATCCAGAATGAACCATACGATGTCATCTGACCGAAACTTGTCATCTGACTGGAGTAAATCACACACACACACACACAGAGAGATACATACATACATACATATACATATACATATATATAAATATACATATATATAAATATATATATATATATATATATATATATATATATATATATATATATATATATATATATAGATATATATATGGGATTGACTCCAGTCAGATGACACCTTACGGTGAGATGACATGTTACGGTCAGATGACGCAAAGCTCACCACTGGCCACTGCAAAGCTCACAAGGACAACTACAAAGCTCACCAAACTGTAAGGCAAAGCTCACCATATTTTTTAAACACTTTGAATTTTTTTTGAAAAAAATTAAAGGAAGGGGTGCTGACTAGACTTTGACCATTGACTGTTGACCATCACCAGCGACCCCCTGCCGCCGCTGACCACCGCCGGCCGCCGCCGCTGACTGGTGGTTGACCGGTGTTGATATTTTCTTTTTTATTAATTTTTTAATTTTCAAAATTAAAAAAAGGTGAGTTTTGGTGTTCAAAGTGGTGAGCTTTGTTTTATTTACAGGTGAGCTTTACATATGCCATTGGTGAGCTTTGCAGTGTAATGTGGTGAGCTTTGCGTCATCTCACCGAAGCATGTCATCTCACCGTAAGGTGTCATCTCACTGGAGTCAATCTCTACACACACACACACACACACATATATATAAATATACATACATACATACATACATACATACATACATACATATATATATATATATATATATATATATATATGTATATATATATATATATATATATATATTTCTTATTTGTTTATTTATCCACAGACTCCCTCCATCCCACTTTATGTCTATAATATTTGACTACGCCTAATTTCAAATTAATATATATGAAAATCGGGGTAGAATTAAAAAAGAACATTTTATATTAAAAACTATATCAAAAAATCTATAAAATAAGAGATGATATAACTATATTATTTTATAATTTGAGTAACAAAAATGAGTAAAGAGAGTGGTTAATATTTGACTCTGTGAATACTAAAAAGTTAATTTAAATTGAGACAAAGGGAGTATATAACATATCTATGTGTGAGAGCATCTCTAGTTTGGTATAATTTAGATTTCTAAATTTATTTTAGATTTCCATCTTCCAACCGTACTTGGAGAAATGGGTAAAAATTGTGTAGGTAAACACTTCTCAAAAATATCTAAGAGGACCCCTAAATGAGGAAGGGTCAAAGTCATATGAGCATTTTGGATATTTCAGAATTCATACTGCATTTAGTACATTTGGAAATGTCAATGTACACAGATAGTTAAATTGATATAGGTCATCAGGACCAAAAGTGAAAATGCCACCACGGGAGACGGAAAGGGCTTACATTTCAGCCACTGTGAACCAAATTTAAGAAGTAATTCTCATAATGGTACTGCATATGTGTTTTCTTAAATTAGTCTTTAAAATTAACTAATTTTCGAGATGGTACTCGTTAATGGAGAATAATGTTCAATTAAGTCCCCCAACTAACGGCCGTTAAAACGGAGTTAAAACAACGTTAAACCTTATACTACTTTCCCAAAATGGTACTCTCTAACTGTGTGTTTTTCTCTAATTGGTTTATTTTCAAAATAAAAACATAATCAATATGAAAAAATATTTTAAATTCTATAGGATAACAATATAATATTAAAAACTATAAATATAATTTTTATAAATTTGAAAATAAACATTTTAGATTATTTACAATTATTTAGAAGAATATCATGTAAATAAAATATTTAATAAATGTTAAAAAATTACCATAAATAGGAGTAAAACATAGAGAAAGAGCTCCTATTTTGATACTTCTTTATGTTTCACTCATATTTAGGGTGATTTCTTTGACGTTTATTTAAAATTTTATTTACATATTATTCTTCTAAATAATTGTAAATAATCTAAACTATTTACTTTAAAATTCATAAATTTATATTTATAGTTTTTGATCTTATATTGTCATACTATAAAATTTAAAATATTTTTTCATTATTAATGTATTTTTATTTTGAAAATGGACTAATTTGAGAAAACACCTATTTAGAAAGTACCATTTTGAAAAAAATGGTATTAGGTTTTACGTCATATTAATGGACTAATTTGGGTATTATTGTCATTATTTAATTTTGGAGACTAATTCTGCAAAACACATATTCTTTTAGTACCATTTTGGGAATTTACTCAAATTTAAGTTTGTGTAATAAATACTAATAGTAGAAAGTTATTATGAAAACAAAAATACATTTATTACATAATAATACTCTCACGGTTCCACATTTCAATTCTCATTTGCTTACTCAGAGTTTTTTTAAGAGATATTGAGAGTGTTTAGGTAAAGGTGATATAATAATTTTAATGAATCAATTTGACCAAAAGTTCAATTTGTTGTTTAAGACCCAAGAAATATTTTACAACGTTTTTTTGTAACACTTTCTCAGGATTTGTTTGTTATTCGATCTTTGCATGGGAGTGGCACTAAGATTTGAAATAGTGACTTGGGACTAAGATTTTAAACAGTGACTTTAAGTGGACAAGACTTTCATACTAGGTTAAAAAGTTATTTCAAAAAAAAGATTAAAAAGATCCAACAAGAGTTTTATGGAGTACTCTAATACACCTCTCACGTGCGAATGAATTTTATTTACTTGAAGTGTTGCAAATGAGCATTATTATTTTTTAAAGTGTAGGGGACGAAATGATAAGATTTGGCGATCTAGATCTACAAAGCTCTAATACATTGTACAATTTTGTGATTGGGTCGGGTTTACTCAATTGAGTCATAACACACTTTGGTCAACTCGCCTAAAAAATTTTATATGCTAAGATGCATGTATTCCTGAAAATAAGCAGTGTGAAGGGGTGATACGGAAAAATATGATGGCTTCAACATTGTACAGGAGATTAAACCTTACAAGTGACGTGGCTATTCTTTCTTACGATTTTCATCCACAATTTTCTGAAGTTCCTTTTCACTTGCTGCAATCAGTTGCTTAACGGTGTCGAATGTTGTAAGCCTGATGCTGAAAACGGAACAGAGACAAAATAAAGGAGGATCAAATACTATAACAACAACAACAATAAATCCCACAAAAATAGGGTCTTGGGAGAGTGTGTTCGCAATCCCCTGGCTACATCACTCTTGGATGTTCTGACAAAAGCTGGAAAAGAAGGTTTAATTAATTAACGGGAGTGTCTCGTGCAGCTGTATTTTATTTTATGTGTGCTCCCTCCATCTCAATTTTATGTTCCCATTTTCTATTTAAGCAGAGTATAAGAAAAACAAAATCGATTAGTTGAGATTTATTTAGAGAGGAAAGAATCAATATGGACTACACAATTCTTTCCATTAAAGAAAATGAGAATCTTAATTAGGGATGACTACTTAATTAGAAAAAGACAAGTGGAAGATGGAAAGAGGGAGGGGAAGTAATTGTAAAGATCTCTTAGTGCATAACCATTTCCGTTTGGAGGCAGTTTTCATGTACATGTTACCATTCTTCGAGAACATAAAGTTATTTCTATAGAAATACCACACTTCAGCTAAAATAAAGAAAATGGAAAAAAATGCAAAAGTGGCATAGAAAGACCTGCTACTCGGCAGAGTTTTAAGAGCATTGGGCACAAAGCCTCTGTACAATCCAATTGGACCATCATGAGCCACTATACCTAAACAAATTTCAAACAAAGTAATAAGAAAACCACAAAAAGAGGTTAAGACGCATCTTTTCAACTTCATCATAGCGAGAAACTTGGTGTTGGCACCCCATGTTTACACCAATATTTGACGTTGCCACAAATATTCTATTTTCTTTTACTTTGCGCCAGCGATGGGTGTAAGTCAAATATAGGGGTAATCAAGGGATGCAAATACCAAAATTCGGTAATACTTTGCAACTCATGAATATCTTGACTTTACATTCCGCTTGCATGCAAAGTCAAAGAAAACAAAACCAAATGCCCCTCATAATAGTAAGAAACTTTGTATATATGAAATTACAGAAGTGCGCAAAATTTGTAAAGTAGCATACCAAACTAAACATTTTGGCTTCTGAAATCTACTTCTAAAACAAATACATCATGAATTTTAATACTAATCTAGTGTTTGAAAATTTCAGACCTTATTCTCAACTTCTCATATAAATGATGAAGCACATTGCAAGATGCACTGAAAGGGATTATATAACAAAAGACATTCAGCATGTATACGATCAATCATGGAACTACTGTGCCAAAGACCAAGAATGCTTATGCTACTAAACTACCCATTGATAAGCTTAGTACTTCTTGCCGATTGTCATTCCTAGGTAAGAGAATGTGGAAGTAAATGTGTGCAACTTATTCAAAATTTCAAGCGTAATATTGAGGTAAGCATAATATTAGGAATATTAATGCCAATCTACCTACGAAAGCATCTAAAACAGTCTTGTAAGGGGTACACCTCATTTGCATTTGCCTTCTTATTGTGTCCAATGGATAGCACATGACTGTGGCCACAGCAGCTGAAATCAATGATGTAACTAGTGACACTTGAGTGCTCTTCTGATATTTCTCTGGTAGAGATTTTTTTACCCTGATATTCACACATTAAACAAAATATCGATTATAGTATCTTTTGCATAGGAACATGATCGTTCAGTATATGTAAAAAAATGTGCGAAAAAATGTGTGCTAAAAAAACATGTGCTCCAAAAAAAACATGTGCTCACAGGTCAAAAAAGCAAAAGTTCACAGCAATATATGGTGCGATTCCAATAAGAGAAGGTCCTAGGCCATTATAAAATGACCCAATTCCTTCCTCTTTTAGCATGTTGAGAGCAACCTGAAAGATATTAACAGATTAAAAATTAATATTGTCGTGCAAACCTTTTATACAGCATAGGTCTCCATTTCCATTTCAATGGAGCTAAAGATTCATTATGAACAATGTTTAGTTTTGGGTAAATGATGGACAAAATCAAAATGACACATTTAACTTCTCTTGCTTCTTACTTTCTATGAAGTTTACCACAGTCAATACATCAATGCACCAAAGGTCTAATCAAAATAGCTTCTCTGTTTTTAGAGGTGTAAGGTTGTGTACGTTCTGACCATCTACAGGGCAACTGAGTTGGGATTATACTAAGTTTGTTGTTGTTGTTGTTGTTGAGGTCGAGGTTGTTAAGCTCCTTTACTATAATGCCAGTGGCCTCACAAACATCCCGTTTAAATGTTTAAGCATGCAGAATTTGAATCTTAATGATATGTCCGGGCAGGTCTAACCAATGCATGCAAGCAGTGCCTCATGCATCTCCATTATGACATATTGTAGTGCATGTAGTATAGACTATTTAAATCCTATGGTAATATTGTGGAACATGCTCGGTTCCGCAACTCTTAAAGTGCTTCTTCGTTTAAATCCTTTTGTTTATTCATTATCTTTGCCCTAGGTTGCCGAGTATGACTAACAAACATATCCATGGGACCCTTGCTCAATATTGGTTTTTATTATTTAGCCAACTCAGCAGTTTCATCATCGTCTCCAGATTCATCTCCATAACTCATCAAAGCCTCTTCACAAAACCGTTGTCGTTGAACTTCGTTCTCCATCACAATTTGTTCTCCTGTCTTTTTCTCAGCCATAAAATTAAAAATCTCTTCTTTCACAGGATCAGACACTTTGTCACATCCCCTTACATCTATATACCCACCAACTATATGTCGTTTCGCTCTACTAGTTCCATCAGTGTAGCGTTGATTACAGAATATACATATGGTATTATTGGTATTTTTAGGATCTTCTAACCGAACATATTTCCGAGTTGGAACATTTCTACTTCTTGTGGAGGAAGCATAGTCATCAAGGAGTCGCTTAGGTAATGCCTAGGTGACTGGGCAGTTTTATGGACTCGCCTAATGGACGCCAAGCCTGAAAACACCTAAGACGCTGAGGCTCTCGCCTTAGGCTCGCCTCTCGCCTAACAAACATGTTTCTTATCGTTTTATATATATAGACACACACACATATACATACATACATATTATATATATTTATATATATATATATATACACATACATATTATATATATATATATACATATATATACTGCGAAAGGATCATTGTCGAAACTACATGGTAGAATGACTTGTTAACGTATAGCAATACAAGATTCGAGTGTCAGGACCATCTTTTTCATTTTCCTGTTTGGCACCTAACCCGGCTTCTGGTTCATCCCACATCGCCATTAACTAGGCATCAAGAGCTAATGCACTCGGATTTCGGGGGGCTAAAGTGTTTGTGTTGTGATCGTAATTCAACCCAGTACGAGAGGAATCGTTGATTCGCACAATTGGTCATTGCATTTGGTTGAAAAGCCAGTAGCTAAGGGTGTATACAAATCGAATCGAAGCAAATATATCACTATTCGATTCGTATTCGATTAAAGTGATATGTATTCGAATTCGGAGTCGTATATAATTCGAATTTTAAAAAACATTCGTATTCGATTCGATAGATATTTGACGTATTTGAATTCGCATTCGAATATTCAAATTCGAAAATATTATAAAATTTTTTCTTAAAACAGATTTCTTAAAGACATTAAATTATTATTTTATAATAATGTAAAATGTAGTAAAAAAATGTAGTAAAAATATGTTAGAATATATATATATATATATAAATTTATTTATAAATTATAATATTCGAATATTTATAAAATTATATGTACACAAAAATTTAATATGTTAAAATATGTACACAAATATTTAATATATTAGAATATATATATAAATTTATTTACAAATTATAATTTTCGAATAATTCGAATAATAAACGAATCGAATCTATTAATATTTGTATTTGGATTCGAATTCGAATATAGCGAATACGAATCATCCTTTTCGAATAAATTTTATTTGATTTGTATGCACCCCTACCAGTAGCGCAAAGCTACCGTGCGTTGGATCTATATAAGTTTTGGTGAGATGACATACTACCGTCAGATGATGCAAAGCTCACCACTGCCAACTGTAAAGTTCCCCTACACCAACTTCAAAGCTCACCAGAATGTATAGCAAATCTCACTATGATTTTTTAATACTTTGATTTTAAGAAAAAAATCAAAGGAGGAGCTGACTGGACTTTGACCAATGACCGCCTCCCTCGAACCTTTTTTAAAAGTTTAAAAAAATAATGAGTATTTGTACTCAAATTGGTGAGCTTTGCTTTAGTTCCATGTGAGCTTTTCTTTTCTTCTTTTACGTCAGACCTTCTTCGTCCGACCTACCTATTTCCCTGTGGGAGAGAAAGAGGGCGGCGACGGTGGGAGACAAAGAGGAGTGGCAATGATTTGATTAAAAATTGTAGATCCCCTTTTTTATTTTTTCATCGGCTCATTGCCTTCTTCTATTAATCACAACTCTAGATTTGATTTTCTTGAGTGTGATAAGATTCGATTTTGATCTTGTTTTGTAATTTGATTTTGTATTTGAACTTGTTGAAGAAGAAGAAGAGATGGATAAGTTGAAGAAGATGAAGATGCACAGCAGTGGGGCATGGGGACACGTGAGTTGAACGCAAAGAGGGCAGCAGTTGGAAAGTCAATACATTTTTCACTTTACATTAAAATTCATGCCAAGTCAAAATGGGAAGTTTCAACTTCGACAGAGGGTGTGTGTGTGTGTATAAATTTCATGTGACCTGCGCAAATTGGGCTTAAAACCATTAGGGCCGGCCGAACCCTAATCTGGTATCCTAATTTTCGGTTGTCTTCAAGTGTGGGCCAATTTGGGCCGATGACTACATATCACCAACACCACCTGCCCTCCAGATGGCCTTTTGTGAGGTTTTTGTGAGGACGATGAGCAAACAGATGATCACACCCTTATGCTCTGTCCCAAAGCTAGCCAAATCTAGATACACTTCGGGAACCTTCGTCACCTATCAATGATCAGCAACTCCTTTTGCCATAACATTACAATGTGGTGGCTTTAGACAACTCCCAACGATCCCCACTCCGAGCTTAAGCGTTGTTTGACATTGATTGTGGCCTAAACTGATTTCACCTATTTCTATCTGATGTGATAGTGCTGCTACACTTGCTAAGGCATATAGTCAAGTGTATAATGGTAAGTCTAGACACTTGGGTGTTAGACATATCATGGTACGCAATTTGATCAAGCATGGTGTAATATCGGTAGAGATTGTAAGAACTCAACACCATTTAGCCAATCATTTAACTATTGGTTTAGGAGAGATCTTGTGCAAAATTTGACTAAAGGAATGGGATCAAAGTCTATATGATGCCTCACTTGTTAAGGTACCCAATTCCCACCTAATATGACATTAGGTGTTGAATTCAATGTGGAAAGCTTAACATCTAGAGAATGGACCACATTATTTTCATTCATCCCAAAGGTATGTGTTCAGACCTGCAAGTTGAGGAGGTTGAAGTATATCTTGTTAATGGTTCTTTTGAAAAATTGTATATGCAGGTACAAGACAAAAGAAACCACCTAATGTAGCATGAAGTTTAACCGCTTCCAGAAGCATTGGACTTGACTTTAACATGCTCGTTGAAGGATACGAACACAACGCTAGTAAAACAAAGTGTCAAGCAAGAACAAAGAGTATGTTGAACTCGTGTGTGTATTATCTCCATGTATTCAAATGAATAGAATGGGTTCAATCCTTAATGACACCTCGATGTTCGAGTATTTGGAACGAGTTATACTAAGCTAAATTTCAATCGACACAATAATTTATTTAAGCATGAGTTTGTTATTCTATTTTGAGACTATCTAAGTAAATTAACGATTACACTAAAATAGGGGAGGATTATTGGTGATTTTCATTCATCTAGAGAATGGACCACATTATTTTCATTCATCCCAAAGGTATGTGTTCAGACCTGCAAGTTGAAGAGGTTGAAGTATATCTTGTTAATGGTTCTTTTGAAAAATTGTATATGCACGTACAAGACAAAAGAAACCACCAAGATGTAGCATGAAGTTTAACCGCTTCAAGAAGCATTGGACTTGACTTTAATATGCTCGTTAAAGGATACGAACGCAACGCTAGTAAAACAAAGTGTCAAGCAAGAACAAGGAGTATGTTGAACTCGTGTGTGTATTATCTCCATGTATTCAAATGAATAGAATGGGTTCAATCCTTAATGACACCCCGATGTTCGAGTATTTGGAACGAGTAATATACTAAGCTAAAATTCAATCGACACAATATTTTATTTAAGCATCATGGTTGTTAAGTCGACAAGTCGAGTCGAGTCGGTGAAGGGGAGACTAGTGGACTAGTCGACTAGTCGCCCTACTAATCGTAGACTAGTTCACAAATCGCAATTAGTATTGAAATTTTTAACATTATATATGTCTTCATTCACCCAAGATAACTATATATATTTATATGACAAAATATCATTACCAAAATAAAATTATGTTTAAAGGTAGAACATAAAGTCACTAAAAAATTAATAAAGCTGAAAAGTTAAGAGTATATTATACTTTAATAGTCTAATAAACCAAATTAAAGAAAACTAAACGGAATTAAGAGTATACTTTAATGATAAATAATTAAAATAGAGAGCGTGTGAGTACTAGAAGATGAAGAAGAATCAATTCCAAAAAATTGATTTTGGAACTGCGAACTCTGGAAGATGTCGATGAAGGAGATGTCGTGATTTGGAAATAGTTAAATGTCAACTCACTGGAAGGCTGTGTTTTATTGAGTAATTTTTAAAGTTTAATGAAATTCGGGTCGGGTTGGGTCAAATTGGGTTGGTTTAGACTGGCCATGTTTTCTTCACAGACTAGTCATTGCCTAGGCGCGCCTAGGCGTCGCTTAACTCGCATAGTCTACCCTAGCCGCTAGTCGACGTGCAAGTCGCCATTCAGAAAACGCCCGGACGACTAGTCGGCGAATAGTCGTCGACTAGGTGACGACTTGACAAAAATGTTAAGCATGAGTTTGTTATTCTATTTTGAGACTATCTAAGTAAATCAAGGATTACACTAAAATAGGGGAGGATTATTGCTGATTTTCATTCATCTAGAGAATGGACCACATTATTATCATTCATCCCAAAAGTATGTGTTCAGACCTGCAAGTTGAGGAGGTTGAAGTATATTTTGTTAATGGTTCTTTTGAAAAAATGTATATGCAGGTATAAGACAAAAGAAACCACCTATATGTAGCATGAAGTTTAACCGCTTCAAGAAGCATTGCACTTGACTTTAATATGCTCGTTGAAGGATACAAACACAACGCTAGTAAAACAAAGTGTCAAGCAAGAACAAGGAGTATGTTCAACTCGTGTGTTTATTATCTCCATGTATTCAAATGAATAGAAAGGGTTCAATCCTTAATGACACCCTGATGTTCGAGTATATGGAACGAAATATACTAAGCTAAAATTCAATCGACACGATATTTTATTTAAGCATGAGTTTGTTCTTCTATTTTGAGACTATCTAAGTAAATCAAGGATTACACTAAAATAGGGGAGGATTATTGGTGATTTTTGTGTCACCGGGGGTAATTGGATTTACTTAGTGACCGGACATTAAGTAATAATAACTATTAAAACGAGTTAGGTGGTGTGGAGTACACGCTCGTTCAATTATATTATTATTTGGAACAAGATGGCTGACCTATTCAAATAGGTCAGCGTGAGCTCTGAGCACCTATTCGAATATGTCTTTGCCTATTGCAATAGGTCATGACCCGATATGGCGATATGCCAATAAGTCTTCGCCTATTCGAATAAGTCACGGAAGAGATGCGTTTGATCTTTCAAAAACGGTCTTCTATTTGAATAGGATGTATGATATTCGAATAGGTACTGAACAGACACAACTTTTTAGTTCAAAAGACATGTCAGATCAGCTTTTTGCCTATAAATACTCATTCTTATGGCCTATTTCGGTATAACCACCAAGAATAAGTCCAAGTGACTATAGTCTTCTTTTAAAAAGCTTTCATACTCGTTCTTTAACGTTTACGTCTTATCCGATTAAAGTATTTTGGTTTGCCCAAAATAACTTTAGTGTGAAAGTGATTCTTTCAGGATTCGTAAGCCTATCAAGTACATCTTTCTTTGAACAAACCTTTACCGATCCTCCAACAAGCGCATCCTTCCATCGGTCATCACCTGGGAGCTTTGGAAAACCTTCAATAGGATCAAGCTAAATGAAGACACCTTCCGCAAGGAGAAAATCCTTCACGAAATCACTCACATCCTTGACGCCTGGTCACTTGCCCACAAAGGTGTGGCTCTGAGATCTATTAAGTCTAAGCCGTTCACTCACATCCTTCACGAAATCACTCGTATAGACACACACACACACACACATATATAATGAGATCTATTAAGTCTAAGCCATTCTAGTGACATCAGGGTGACCACATATGTTATTGCATCATGTTTCTGAAATCTAAAATTCCCCGATCTCCTGCAAATTTTTAAGTGGTCATTCTTTCTACACACTTTTAATCCCAACCTGATCATCTCTTAATGCTTAATTTCATTCACTCCAAATAAAGAGGATTTTGTTATATTCCTTCTTGAGTTCGTAGTCATGTTATGCGATGAAAATTATCCGGAGATTATAACCGTTAACCTTAAGAGTTAAGACTAAAGAGTTTTACACAGAACCCCCTCATATTTTACTTGATTGAATGGCTTTTGATGATAACACCATTGACCTTTCTTCGTATTTTGATTAAATTTGGTAACAGAATTTCCATATTGATCTCATTCGGAAACACTACTAGAATAAGTAAACATATTAAAGGGTTACTATGCAAAATGAAACAGAAGTAAAAGCTTAGATGCCAGTGTTGAATTGTTAGATGTGCATTGCAACTAAAGTCTCACCCCATCATACGGTTCATACCTCTGTCATAGTTTTATACCCAGGTTCAACTGCCAATCTCAACCTCAAAACGTCTAATGGATAGGTAACCTGTCAAACAAACAACATATTGATGCCTGGAGTGACAATTTCATAACTAAGGAAACAAAAATAATATAGGAAGTACGATAGCCATGGTGTGGGGTACTGGGGTGGGTGGGGGAGGGATTGAGAATTTAATTCATCGTGAGTGCATTTAAATAAGCAATACTGGAAGCATGATTAGATCAGGTATAAAAAAATGTCCCGGTCTAGAATCCAAGTTAAGAGGATTGTGCGAAAATAATATGTTCTGAATGTTAGCTGGTAGCCAGGTACAGATGGGGGGGAGGGAGCTGAGAATATAATGCTTCATGACTGCATTTATATAAACAATACTACTAGACTAGTAGAGTGGTTATATCATATTACAGAAATCTCCATATGTCTAGCAGTTGCACTATAGCATCCAATATAATAGGAATTTACAAAAGAAAATGTTCTGACTGTTATTCCAGCATCAGCATTGCACATCACTAAATGTAAATGCCAAAAGGACAGCACGCATGTAGACACTAGGAAGTTAAAATGTATAACAACAAATTTCCTATTACATAAATCCATGGCAGAGACGCAGAGCTAATATTGGAGGAGCAATTTTCATGGCAATATCCATCGACTATATTCTATAACTGAGACTTCTATTCTCTAAGATACCATTTCTAAAAAATTTTGCATTAGTTATTTTCCATTTGTATTTTTTCTCAACTGTTAATTGTGTGAACGCATTGAATATTTTAATGTCTCTAAATGTGTGTCAATTATAACAAGTTATCAAGTATCTATATGTAATGGCTGATCTTTCAGAAGGAAGATACAATCTCTATTGATAAAAATGAAGATATGATCTCTTCTGATTAATATGGTCTCAAAGTTGCATGCTAGTGGCTTGATTTTCCGTTTATCTTGATTCTTGAAAGAGTAATGTCGGACAATGTTCAAACATCATACAATGTACTCATATTTTAATCAGCTATTATCAAAGTTCTTATTTCCTCCAATTAATACCTACAATCTCCTTTGCAAACATAGACGAGCATATATAAAGATTTCTGATTTTCAAATACTGCCTCAAACGCACTCAAATTCCATTGTACGACTCTTGGATGTCCTCGCATTCATGTAGTTTACTTTCTAATGACACTTTCCAATGAAACTTTCTGGTTATTCTTGAGACTCTCTTGTAAATGTTTCCTGATTTTTAGGCAGCCATGGTCTAATTTCAAGTTTCAAACAATAAAATACCCTGCCGACATTGCCCAACCTAAATCAATAATTTTTGTACCCAACCTAAAAAACAATTAACAAGATCTCTATATTAAAAAGACTGACCATGGCTGGACATGCTTAACTGTGTAGGTTACAATTGCTAGGGTGGTCAGTGGCATTAGTCGATTTGCTGGCAGTGGTGAAGCTCACAATCCTAATGGTGCTCTCAATGAGGGAAGAAGAAAAAGAGTGATGAGGGAGCCACGATCAAAATGGCACATTAAACATCCTTTTGCTTCTTACTTTCAATGATGTTTTTGGCCTTTTGGGTAGTAAAAGCAGCAATGCATCAATGATCTAACAGAAACATTCTCTCTGTATTTTACTCGAGTAAAGCTATGTACATCTTGACCCTCCAAACCCCAACGGAGTTGGGGTTATTACACTGGGTAAACATGGGTTTTTATTGTTGTTGTAGGGGGCACTTGATGTCTAGGAATGCTGCTGAGGGCAAGCGTTGAGTCGTTGACTGCTGCACAATTCAAGTCATTCTGTTTTCATGACATACCAGACTACTCATCTTCATCAGCTTCTCCAATATGCTTCCGCTACAATTACATATACTTCATCTACCCCCACGAACATATGCAGCATTTACTGCTTCAAAATTTTGATTGGTGATTTTACTCGGGAGCTTGAGACCACATAACTGGTCAATCTCAAATGCCAATAGTTTACTACTTATAGCCCTCATCCAAGTACATTTACAATGAAATTGTTGATGGTTTGATCTCCACAATGGCCAGTAAAAGAACTAAAGAACTATTAATTTGGCTCCTCTAACACAGAGTATCATTTGCCACAGTCTGTCCTGTAATCTCCTCCCAATTAGCAAACTTACTCTTGACCATCATATATGTGAAATATTCAATAATAAGGATACAATATTACAATAATACAATCTCTTTTGATCAATAATTATTAACCATTACTTTGGAGTTTGGACTGGTTGGAATACACTGTAATTATGTGAGTTTATAAGAGTAGTTACCAATAAGCACCTTATATTTGGGTCTAGGCAACATATAGGGTTTCATCATGGTTTTCAGAGCCTTGGAATTTGTAAATGCTATTTTCATCTCAAATAAGTTTAAAAAAGCATAAGAAAATAAGCTCAAAATAGAATTTCAAGTAGACGTAACATCTTTGAAGAGGCCATCCATACAGTGAGAAATGGGTGAAAGTATCTACTGCAAAATAAAAGCTTAACATGAGGTTATTCAAATCGGCCTTACTCCAAATCCCAAACTCAGATAATTGTTTGGATATTAAAGCCTTCAATTCCCCATTGTCGCATAAAGTTTTATGTGCTTCACTACTTCACCAGTTCGATATTATTTATACTTCAGTGGGTCGCACCTTAAACTACAATTCAATAGGTTGCGAGTTCGAACCTCATGCTACGCAAAATCCCAGACCCATTCTGTGAAATTTTACTGGTTCTTTTGTTGTTGTGCTTGACCAATTCACATTTTCATATATTCCCACTTAGAAACAAATTTGGCCTTTGGGCTTGCCCGGTTGACTTGCTCCAGTCATAGGATACCTTATGAGTCCGATCTTTTTGGCTAGATAATTGGAGTGAGGTTTGGGGGGAGGGGAGGAGTTCGAGAAACAAAAAACAATTGAAAAGATTTGGAAAAAAATATTTTTGTATAAAAATAACATAATATATTTATTTATTAATATTAATTTAAATTGACACTTAAGATATGTAATATTTTATTTTATTGATTAAAATGTTAACAAAATTATATAGTATAGAAATACAAGATGGGTATAAGTAAAATCTATAATATGAAAGTAACATTATTTTGGAGGGAAAATTAAAAAAAAACTAATTTTGGGATGGAACATATTTATGCAATATTAGGGGAAAGATAATAAACATTGCAAAATCATTTAACAGCCATATAGGATGTTGCAATGGATTGGAATTTTAAGTAACTCCAGATTCAATTTAAACTTTTCTATATCCATACTTTGGTGGATAGTGTGTATTAAAAGTTCATAATATTCTATTACAAATTTTTTTATTTAATAGGAATTGTACCATAGGTTCAATTGCTTTATTATTTTCCTTACATTGATAGTGATAATAATAATAACAATAACAATAATAATAATAATAAGAAATATTTGCACTAAATAGCACTAAAACTTAAGTCATTTCCCTAAATAACACTTAAACTGTTTTATTCCCTAAATAGCACTTAATAATGTCCAGTGATGGCGAATATTTGCTTGAATAATGACTAATGCATAATGACTAAAAGTGCTATATTGGGAAGAAAAACACATGTGGTGCTATTTAGGGAAGGTCATTATGTTTTAGTGCTATTTAAGTAAATTCCTCTAATAATAATTTGTATATTTGAAAAAAACTACTCCATCCGTCCCTAAGTAAAATTTTCAAATTGAGTTCGCAAAACAAATTGTATCATTGAAATTTGTTTCGAAGATACAAAAATATAGTGAGCTACATATTGCTTTCTGTTAAAATTTTGATGGCCTAAGAATTACTCGCAAAGTGTCATGTAAAATTAACCACTTGCATATAAAGTAGGGTGGGGTTCCCATGACATTGGGTTGCAATTGTCATGGGATGACCCGGGGGCGCTCCGGTGCCCCGTTCGTAAAATTGACGGTTCCTACCCCCCTAACCCCCCCGGTAAACCCCCCCACCCCACCCCGACCAGAACACACCCCCTACCCCGTCAATTGCACCCCACAAGTTGATTTTGACTTTGGAGTCAAAACCAAAGTCAAAATCAACTTGTGGGGTGCAATTGACGGGGGTAGGGGGTGTGTTCGGGTCGGGGCGGGTGGGGGAGGATTAGGGGGGTAGGAACCGTCAATTTTACGAACGGGGCACCGGAGCACTCCCGGGTCATCCCATGACATTGGAACCCAATGTCATGGGAACCTTGGTGTATGAAGTAAGCCTAACCCAGAAGCTTAAGCTGATAGGTCACCCTTCTATATATGCTAGTGGTATTTCATTACTTTTTTTGATATGGGAACTCCAACACTTTAGAAAGTAGGAAAGTAAGGAAATGTAAACTTTATTTTAGGAATCTAAAAAGGAAAGTGTATAGGGGTGCAGGGAGTATATCACTTTTTTTTCTTTTTTTGATGTTTTTCCTTAAATCTAATTTAGACGCATAATTCATCAAAATAAAAAACACTCATCAATAAAAAGTTAAATACAAAATAACTAAGGTTGTCGTATGTATGATTGACGAATGAATGTTAAAAGTTTGGTTGCTATATTATAAATAATTTTCAATTCATAGAATTTAATTATAGGAGTTGAAAGGATTGGAAGAAACTAGAAGGAGTTGGAAAGACTAGATGAGTTGAAAGTTTGAAATTCTAATGATATCTTAGGAACTCAGACACGCTATACAATACTTTTATACTCCCTCCGTCCCCCTAAGATGTTCTCATTTTGACTTTTTGTTTAAAGAGAGTTTTAAAAAGGTGAAAGTTTACCAAAATATCCTTAAAGAAAATGGGTGGAGTATACTAAATGAGGTGGGTGAGGTGTAATAAATAAAGTGAAAGTAGTTGTGGTATTTTAAATGTTAAAAAGGCTAATAAGAAGATCTATGGGGGACAAATAAAAAAGGCTAATGAGAAGATCTATGAGGGACGAAGGGAGTATTATAATGATACTCCCTCCATCCAAAATGAAGTTTACACTTTCCTTTTCAGGATATACAGTGTCCCAAATAAAAGTTTAAACTTCCTTACTTCCAACAACTCACTTGTTTACTTTTTATTATCATTATTTAACTCCGCAAAGTCAAACCGTAAACTTCATTTTGGGAGAGAGGGGGCATATTGTTTCCTAGTTTGAGATGTTTTAGAGAGTAAATAAGTTTTTTCAGCTCTAAATACTTTCCTAGCTTAGTATACATTTGGTCCTAACAGATAAGGATAATTTGTTAGAATCTCACATATATATATATTGATCCATTCAGTTCTCTAATCAAAATAGAACTTCATATCCAATCTTGGGATGTGCAGCTTCATAAATCCTTCCTTAGGTTTGCCAAGAAGATAGTTTACAGAATCTTCAATTTCCTTCATTTTCTGCAGCATATAATTTTCCCAGCCAGATTGGGAAGTGCTATATGATTTCCAATTGCTGACAACCACTAAAATTGAAAATTGCTGGAATACATATAACAGTTTAGATTCACAACTTACAAAAGTTGAAGTCATGCCTGCACAAGCGCCTGCTGCAAATCTTCCAATCACAGAGAGCTCCCCATTCTTTCCTCTAAATATTTTCTGATAAAAATTATACGTTAAATGGTGTAAATCTGTAACGAGACATACATTTCAATACTTGTAAAAAAAAGTATCATACCTTGTATGTTTCATAAGCAAACAATTGAACTGCACTGTAGGGTATTATCCGGATCACCTGACCATTTAAGGAGAACATGTCATAATCAAATTCCAAAGAGTAAAGGTCATACTTGAGCAGTTTTACATTCATAGGAATGTATGATTCACTGCTGAAGTAGCTTAGCAAGTTAGCAGGTGATAGAGGTGAAATACCTGTGGAAGGTTTCCCTTCCAGTAGCCTTTGATTCCTTCTTCCCTTGCAATTGAGGTAAAAGCCTGCAACTCAGGTGTCATGCTTACAGATAATCACTAGTACAGATATTAATATCTGGGGGGAGTTAATCCTAGCAATGCATAATAATTACTAAATACGACTAGTAATGAGAGGTAATTAAATAAATAAACAAATACCTCAATAAACCCAACTGCTTTCTTTGCACTTTCATGCCCAACTCCTATTCCATGTGTCTATAGCCAAAATGTAATTAATGCATAGCAGGAGGAAGCTCATAGACAAATAATCATTTGCATTCAAAGGTAGACCCACATAGATACCACGGGGTCCTGGGACCCCACAGACCGCCATGTAGGATCCTATATATATTAGGTATAGTGATAGTATTAGTATATGTATTTAAAAAGGCGCTAAAGAACTATTGCATATTTGGTGGAAGAGATGAAGTGTGTTGGTTCAAATCTTCCTACACATACTCAACTTTTGGTTTTCTTTTTTAACACTAGACACTTGGAAACCCAAGGGAATAACTTGTATGCAATTTTTATGGGAACTCCCCCTTAATTTATGGCATATTGAAGGTAGTATATACTCCCTCCATCCGGAATCAGTTGTCCACTTTCTTGTTTCCATTTGTCTGAAATTAATTCTCCACTTTCCATATTCAATAAATAAATTAGGATAAACTATCTAAAATATCCTTGAGAAAGGGTGTGAGCACTATTTACATGAATAAGTGAAAACTCATTTGAGGAACTAAATTTATTTTTTAAACTCATTTCTTAAAAATGAGATTTCTTAAGTTTTCACTTTTCTTTTTAATCAGGATGTCTCACAATTAAATTGTCATTCTCTTATAAGGATAAAATGTGCTATTCTCTTCACAAAATTCAGCCACACGCAATATTTACCTTTCTTAAAATCCGTAAAAAAATAAATGAAAATTTAATTCAAGAATAGAGAAAGTATACCCTCTGTTCCATTATCTTTTAGGTTTCGATAATGACAAAAATTTATGGAACAAATATATTTTGCACGTGAAACCATAAATGCTTTTAAAACTGGGTGGCGCTGAGTTTCGAAACCATGACTCTTTGGTCAACAAGGCTTTGATACCATGTCAAAGAACCATCTCAACCAAAAGGTCAAGCTTGTGGTTGGGGCCAGGAAAGGTTTTTATACCGTCTCAACCAAAAGCTCTAACATTTATATTGACCACTGCAACTGAAAAAATTATGGTGTTTATCAAATATAAGGAAATATAAAGTTGATATATAGTTAAGGCTAAAATCTTCAATAGCCTTCTCTGTAATACTGCGGCAGAAATATTACTGCTGCAGAAATATTAAAACCCAACTTTCAGTAATGACGCAAAATTAGTGAATGAAGCGGAAAATTAACCCCCTCAATAAATCAGCCTGTTAGGTTTATTATTTATTGCGATTTGGCTGAGGTCACCAATAAAATCAGTCCGTAGTTGTGCACTACAAGAACTAAAGGGAGCAGCACACAAACCTAACCTCGTCACACTTCACTCACACAGAAACAGAGAAGAACAAGGTAAACACACAGAAGGAACAAACTCACACGATGGAGACTCTTTTTCTCCCTTACATTGCACGACTTAACACAAACAAACAAAGGTAGTATATATAGGTAATATTATGGAGCTAATTAAGGTATGTTGGATAATGTGCTATAACATGAATATATATTTTGCAATGTCTATTGCCCATTATCTTTTAGGTTTTGATAATGACAAAAAACCAAATCAAATGAGCATCAAGGCTAAGTAAGACATTGATTCAAGAGCTTTAACGAGCTTATTCTGTGACGAAGGGGAATTTGTTTACAAGTGAAGGATCAAGACCGAAAATGTTGAAGACCTCTTGGTTGGATAGTCTTCTAGGCTTTAGAGCATTTGTTAAAGGATAGGGCATTAGAAAAAGCTCTTAGACTATCCTCGTGATTGTTCTTTGATCCCTAGCCTTTTCCCATGATCTTTCTACATTTCAAGTGTAAAAAATCATGTTCTCGGTATTACATTCTAATGTTTGAAAAGATAAATTCGAATGTATTGTTATACGTTACTAATAACTGCCGAAAATCGCTAATAACTACTAAACTACTCAACAATCGAATGTTGGAGCCTAAACATTCAGATGTTTGCTGTTTTCAGCAGTTAAGAAGTTTGTTTTTCAGCCGTTTTGATCCCTCCGTGAGTAGGAACACTCGCAGGACCTCACACATTGGTATGCAAATATTCAAGCACATCAAAAGTCTTGGTTAGGAAAACTAACACAGGTTTGTTTTCCAAACACACAAGATTCACAGAATGGAACATGTATAAGCTTATCACTAACCAAGAGCCCGTTTTATGCAATAATTCAAGTCTTTTATTATCACAGAAAGGAACATAGATTAGCTTATCACTAACCAAGAGCCCGTTTTATGCAATAATTCAAGTCCTTGATTATTCATGTGACCCAACCGTTTACATCATAGAACAAATTTATCAACCATAGAATTAGCATGCTCACCAATAGGTATAGCTTTACATACAGCTTTACACACATACAAATTATTAATTTTTTTCATCTTTGACAACAAAAATAGAACCCTTCATGATTTTCATAAAAAATACTATAATGACACTGGCTATGAATTTGAAATACAAAGATGCCAAATTTCATAAAATTACATGAGAAAGCAAATGCCTACTCTCTGTCCGGATTTAATTGTCCAGTTCCCATTATACCTATTTAAGGAACGAAGCTAAAATAACATATAACGCCTTGAAATTAGTTAAGGAATGACAACAATGTTAATGTATTCACCAATGACTTTTTTTTTGCATTTCTAATAATATGTTTAAAAGTGGACAACAGTAGAATTTGAGGAAGTTGAGCACTAAATCTGGACGGGGGCTAGGGATTATATGCTAAAAACCGAAGAGAACGGCATAATTTAAGACATGCACCTGCATGATGAGCTTAATCCGATCAAGAGGGGCGGTGACAGTTTTAGCAGCGGCCCCTGCGATGGCACCTGCAGCAAAAAGCGCGAGATCCTTTGGCGCTAAAGCGAGCATGGCTAATGGATGCTTGAGAAGCTGAGCTGGCGTCGGTGAGAACTCTTTTTGCTCCCGTTTCTCCGCCAATGAAATGCAAGCAAAACTATCCCCACGGCACCCGCAGGACACACTGAGCCAATCCCTCCATTGTTCCGTTCTGAAATTCTGAGCATTGACAGACAATTCGAGTCCCGGGATGTCTCTGAAAACAAACTTGGCTTGGTTTTCTATCATTTTTCAGGCACAAAACACAGTGAAGTTAGCGTTTCCGAAATCTCTCTCCTGTTCAGATGGAGTTTGTTAGACTTTGGAGAGAGACATTGGGGGAAACTTTCCAGGTTTATTACGTTTATTGCATAACTAGCCTATTTTTTTAATCCTACCTTTTCGCGCTCTTTCAAAAATAATCTCACTTTTCACTGTCATCGAAAATAATCCCACCTTTTCGCATGTGTGCGAGTTTTGGGTCACCGTTAAAAAACTAACGGCCACTTAACGGAAGTTTTTGAAAATGCCTGTTTTTTGCAAATAAATGAAAGATGGGATTATTTTAGAAAAATTTACTTTTTACTTTTTTAGTTTTGAATTTAAAATTAATATTTTTAAAAATATAACAATACACTCTTGTTAGAGATTTGTCTAACGATTAACAAATTTTGTTAATTGTTTTGGGAAAATATAGTATTGAATTATCAAAAATAATTCAGAGTGTCGATCAAGAAAGAAATTACAATAAAAAATTTTTAGTGATTTATAAAATTTATGGGTTCCGTTTCGGAGAAAAAAATATTGTGTCATTTTCACAACTTTTGAATTACTATTTTGAGGAAAAATTTGTATTGAATTATTAAAAAAATCACAAATTGGGTAGTTCCATTTTAGAAAGAAAATTTTATTGCAATATAAGATTATCAATAAATATTTCAGAGTGTTCATGGAAAAATTGCAATATATCAGAAAATGTAGTGAGTTATAAAAATAAAAGTTCTAATTTAGAGAAAAAAATTGTTGTGTTATTTTCACAACTATTGTAATGTTGTTTCACAAAAAATATTTATATAGAACTATCGAAAAATATTCATAAGTTTTGCAGTGCCATTTTTTTAAGAAATAATAATAATGTAGTATCAAAAAATAATTTGAAGTGCAGTTCAAGAAAAATACAGTAAATGCAACTTACAAAAAAATGTACTCCCTCCGTTATCAAAAACACTTCATCTTTTATTTTTTTTCCCTTCCAACAAAACACTTCCACTTTTTATTAATAAACCACTTTTACTCTTACCTTTTCATACCCTACCTATCACATCATACTTTATCTCTAATAATCTATCCATCACATCTTACGTTTACCTATCACATCAAGGGCAAAATTGGAAGTCAACTACAATTTAATACTTCCTTATTTTTACACAAAGTCAAAAGAGGAACACTTTTTCCAAACGGAGGCAGTAGTTAGTTATGAAGTTAATAAATTAGCTCTATTGTGTAGAATAATTTATTTTCTAATTATTACCATATTATTGGTTATTGAAAAAAACAATTAGTTTCACTCTAAAAACACTTATATTTGGTATTTTTTCCAAAAAATAAAATAAAAATACATTTAAAGAAATAAAAAAATGAAAAAGGGAGAATTTACCTAAAATAATCCCACCTTTCATTTATTTGCAAAAAACGGGCATTTTTCAAAATTTCCGTTAAGTGACCGTTAGTTTTTTAACGGCGACCCAAAACTCGCACATATGCGGGAAGGTGGTATTATTTCTGGTGAGAGTGAAAAGTAGGATTATTTTTGAAAGAGCACTGAAAGGTGGGATTATTTAACAACTCTTATAGTCTCTCGAGAACGTTAGAGTAGTATCCATTCTTGCACAAACATAATTATTTATTTAGAATTAGCGTGGTACTCATTCTAAAATAACGTAGTACTCATTCTGAAATAATGTAATACTCACTTTCACACATTTATTCCTTACAATTATAATATTTATCCACAAATAACGTAATATTCATTCTAAATTAAAATAGTACTCATTCTCAAATTACATAATGCTCATTCTCAAATAAAATAAAACTCAGCATAAATAACCTGGCTTCCAACCGACTAGGGTTTTCATCGGAGGCCTCTCCTCCCATCTACCGCCTTTCTTCTTCGTCAACCTCTGTAAAGCAGCGGCAACCTTTACAGCTCTATCTTCCTTCTCTATTGTTTTCAACGGATTTTCGCCGCCATCACTCCTCGTCATCCTCGCTGCTCCACCGTCTTCGTCTTCGCTGCTCCATGTCCTTCGTCTCCGATGGTCCGACCCGGCAAAAAGACGAGCGGTTTAAACTCCAGCGGCTTCCGTTCCACTAATTTTTCTTCCCTAATTAGCCGGTTGTATCCAATTCTAGGTACAATCGGGTGTACCATATAATTTGCGTAGTCTCTCCGTACCTATTTTTATTATAATTTTATTTTCTCTCTCTCCTCAATATTTTTTGTTTGTTTATGCATTTTTATTGATTATTTGATAAAATAAAATATTTTACTGAGAACTTTTGCACCTCTTGTTTTGTAGAACTTTTGATATAGGTTTTTAACATGTAATTTTTATTTCTTATTGATGTATCAATTTATAAATAAAATGATTTCAAAAATCATGAGATTTTACCTTGTAATTTCCATTTTGTAATAAAAAATAGGAACGGATGGAGTACATATGAGCATAGTATGACCAACAAGCTCCAGTGCTGCTGTGGTTTGAAAAATTGGAAACAAGACTCCTATTTTTGAAATTTATTTCTTAAGTCTTCGCGGTTTCAAAATGTTGCACTCACACCCGCTCTGATTATTTTCTGGTCATTTTCCGGCGAAGAGAGCGCATTGGTGCCTATTTTCTAAATCAAAGGAGCACAGATGGTCCTTTCTTATTTTTTGTTTATTACTTTAGTTTTTTCTTTTTTTCTTTTTTTATCTCTTTGTTTCCCTTTCCTAGAAAAAATTCTTTTAAATTTTTTATAATGTTTTTTAAAATTCAAAATTCTTTGTGTTTGAAAAAAATTTTAAAAAAAATAACATATACTCCATCTATCTCAAATTAAATATTTTAAGTTTTTTGTCTAGAAAATATTTTTTGTTAAGTTCAAAAAGAAAATAAAAAATTAAAATAAAAGTATGAAAAAAAAATGAAAAATCTAAAAAAGAGTCTTATACAAAAAGAATTTTTATAATGCCTAAAAAGTCCTTAAAATTGGGCTGTCCAACAAGAAAATTCATTTTATTTTATTTTTGTTATTTTATTCCTCTTTTTTAAAGTTCTCAAAACAAGTTTTTAATTTTTTATTTTAGAAAATAAAAAAATTGTTAATTTGAGACATACGGATTCATTATATGTTAGTTTTTTTCAAACAAAAATAATTTTAAATTTAAAGAACATTATAAAAATAAATTTAAAAAGAAATTTAAAAACAGTGATTAATAAAAGGAACAAAAAAATAAACAAAAATAAGAAATGAGCATTAGTGCTCCTAAGGTTTGGAAAATAGGCACCAATACCCCTTCTTTGCTGGAAAAATGGTCAGGAAATGATCAGAGCGAGTACGGGAGCAACATTTTGAAACCACTAGGACATTAGAGGCTTATTAATTTATTACTAATAACCAATTTTTAACTTATAAGATAGTTAACTATTCTTTTGTAGAGGTAAAGTAACTATATCAATATACAAGTTATTTGGGAATTTTCACAAATGGTAAGAAATACGGAGTAGTTTTGTAAATAGTCTGACCAAAAGAGAGTTTTAGAAAAAATGACTTTAAAAAACGTAGGTAAAATTTATTTGTTTTTTCTAACTTATAAGCAGCTAATAACTCAACTTATGATCAATAAACATAGAAAAACATTTCATCTAACTTATAAGTTAAAAACAACTTAATAGTTGCTTCAAAAAAACAACTTAATAGTAAATTTGAGTAGCTTATAAGCAAAGAGGAACACTCACTATATATTGTCAATCTATATTATTTGTACTACTAGCATTTTAACACGTGCGAAGGGTAAACACATTTTTGCTCGATTATGTAATTTTCCTAAAAAATTGTTCTTTTGGATTCTACTTGCTAACTTTTAGCATCCGTTTCGTTTAGAGAAAAATATTTTCCATTAAATTTCTATTCTAATTTTCTACATTTGGTTACATAAGTGGTAAACAATTATGTTTGGCAAAAATTATTTTCTCTCAAAAAGTATAAAAGAACTTTCGTTTGCTTTGCACGAAAGTTCATTTTACTGAAAGAGTCAAACTGATTAATTCTGTTCTATATGGAATAGCTGATTTTTGGAGTAGAATTTTTCTGCTGCCTAACTCAGTCATGAGGAAAATAATGGCACTTTGTAGAAATTTCCTTTTGAGTTCTGGCCCAGTACACAAAAGAAGCCCTTTGATTAAATGGGATGATGTCTGTCTTCCTAAACAAGAAGGGGGTTTAGGGCTGAAAAATATGTTAATGTGGAACCAGGCCTGCACTATGAAACTCTTATGGGATATTTCTAATAAAAAAGATTCATTGTGGGTAAGATGGGTCCATAGTAAATATCTCAAGAAGGAATCAATCTGGTGGTACAAGGTCAAAAGTGATGATTGTTATTATTGGAAGAAACTGATCAACAATAGGAAAATGTTTGAAGGGATGAATACATCCAATGGATATACAGTGTTGGATGGGTATGAATGGCTTAAAGGAGCCAAAGAGAGAGTGGCCTGGGCTAGAATGGTGTGGAGCAGATGGTCCTTACCCAAGCACCAATTTATTGCTTGGCTCATTTGGAAAGGAAGGATTCAAACTAAGGACAGGCTTAAAAAATTCCTCCTTATTGATACTACATGTGTGATGTGTGACAAAGAGGAGGAATCTGCAGATCATTTATTTTGCTCTTGTTCCTATGCCAATAATGTCCATGGGAGGGTATCAGGATGGCTTAAAATGGACATACATGCTGACTCAATTGAGGATTTGGGCAGGAAGGTGGAGCTGGGAAGAAGTAAAACACAAAAGGGGATCCTGGCGGCAAGTATCAAAGCGTGTTGCTACTACATTTGGAAGGCTAGAAATGCAAAGATTGACAGCGGGAAATGGGTTAATGAGGAGTTTACTTTTAATTGTATTAAAACAATAGTTGGCATGTGTATTGGTAGTAAAGGCACTGTAATGGTGTGCTAGGTTTCTTTTGGATCGCTGTTGGTGCTTGTGTTGCTTGAAGTAGTAGTAGTGGGTGGTGCAGAACTTGTAATGAATTATGAGTTGTGAATAAAAATGTGTGCTTTGTTTCAAAAAAAAAGTTCATTTTACTACTCACTCCTCAAGTCCTCTGATTTCATGAACAAAGCAAAGGATAACCCACACCTCTTTGTGCCCTCCCTCTCACTGACCTATAGAGTAAAGCTTCATAATGAAGATTTGGTTTGGACCGTATATAAAAAAGAAACTATGTTGTCTAAAATATATTTAAGTTCTCCCAAAACATCTTTATTTTTTAATTATATATCACCTGTTTACTTATATTAAAAATTCGCATCCTAACAAATGATAGAAAATGATTTTTTGAAAAATTAAATCTTCCTACCAAACAATAGAAAATGTGGGAATCGTTTTTAGTGAATCATTGTCCCCTTTAAAGTATTTTTCTAGAAAAATATTTTCTTCAACCAAATGTATTCTTAACTTTCAATATTTTTTAAATTTCTAAATTACTTTTAAACTTATTCTAGTTTCTTCCAAGTTTTTTTGATTTCATTGAACATTATCCAAATTTTTCTAATTCTTTCAAGTTTTTTCCGACTCTTAGATTCTTCCAATTTCTTCTAATTCCTTCAACAATAATTTAAAAATTATTTACCTCAATTTTATTTAATTATTATTATTTCTATTATTACTATTATTATTAATTAGTTTCGTAGTTGTTGTTATAATAATAATAATTCTATAAATTATTATTATAATATGAGTATGAAATGAGTACCATTTAATTAACTTGTAGATGTGTATATAACTAATAACAATAACACTTTTCATCCAAATGTTTTGTACAAGACCTCTAAGACACGCGCAATATGACTCTTTTTTATTAAAATTTTTGTTTTTATACTTTTGATTCGGTTAGTTTTTCTTTTTAATAATGTACTCCCTACGTCCATGAGTATTTGTCCACTTTTGACTTTTTCGGTCAACATTGGTAAAATTTGACTTCAAATTAAATAAAAATGATAATAGATATTTATATAAAAAAAGTTTTATTAGATTTATTATGTCCAATATTTTCAAAATATTATTTTATCTAATTAATATACAATATACATTTCATTTAATTATAGGTCAAAGGTGTTGGATATATGAGCCCTAGAGGCCAACGTATGAATCATAATCTGAACATATATCAAAAATAGAAGGCTCTAAAGATTATTTATACATCTCGTGTATCTAAACATACTCTTAGTCCATAGACTTAGCGCTCTAGTAGCATAGAGTAGAACTACGATGTTTTGATTATGAGACCGGTACATTAATAGAGGCTATGTCTAAAATGTCCTTAGCCAAATATTATGATAATACGAACGTCATAATCTCCTAAGACTAATACGTATGAGACAAGATAGTTGTGTTTCATAGGCTATGGATATTGTGATATCTCAATCTATACGTATGTACATATCTAGGATATGGTATTCGACTCACCCACCATGCAAATACTACATGGGTATTATTTTAAATATGTAAGTAGTATTCTCATTCCACCATTGGTATAACTATGCTTATACTTGATGAGGTTATTATGATCTTTAATATGTTGACCTATATGCTTTGATTCATATCTAATGCCATTTGAAATACTGGTGGACGTATAATTATGTTTTGGGTATATAGTTAAACATATATGTAAAGGCGTGAATGACGTAGAAAGATTTATCCCTTCCATTGTGATGAAGTGTAATGTCTTCGCACCCACTGCACTAATAGATCGGATATGACTTGGGAAGTGTATGGCCATACCTAGATAAATTAATATATGTGATGTTAAAAGTATTTGAATCCCACGAGTCAAACTTAGAATCGGTAAACTAATGATTTAACTCTAACAAGGTGACACTTCCCATACCTTGTGTTAAATCAAGACATTAAAGATAAAGGGATAAGAGTTATACAAATGTAATGTGTCGTTGGAGGTATTGTTGCAATGAACGTTATGTTTATAACTTGGGTAGCGATAATGTGTTGCTAGATACCACTTATCTTTTATAATATTAATTATGAATTAATATTATTGCCAACATTATAAGTACCTAGAAGGGTCACACACATAGATCAATTGAACGGGGTGGAATATTAAATGGGAATGAAGTAAAATGATATTATATGGGACGTGTGACGTACATATAAAATATATACATTGAAACTTTTAATTATGTGATAATTAAACTTGTCAAATATTATTTTTGTACATAAAATATAAATTTTATATACACACACACATGATAATGTGTTATCAAAAAATATATGTATATTTATGTTGGAATGCATGAGTTCAACTCTTTCTGTGTTGTTAAGTATTGACTCATAGGTTTTGATAATTGACAAACACAATTTATTCAAGTCAAGATCAAATTGCTACAACGACACACACAAAGACTTGAAGTGTCATTCCTTGAAGTATTCAAGAAGGTGCACAGGATTTTGTTGAATTCGAGACGCGTTCGGAGCGCCTAACGAAGGACTCGGAGGAGTAGAAGCTTTTCGAAGACTTTTTATTTATTTGAGTCTTAGGAATTATTGTAAGGATGACAAAAATAATCTTCTCTCCAAAAATAATTTTATGAGAGTTAAAATAAAAATTATATTTATTTTTGGAGTCAGTTGAAAAATCTTTTAACTGTTCAAAATACTTTTATTGAGTCAGTTTGAAAAGGAGTGTCAAACATTTATCAAAATATTTATTTTGATATTAGAAAATATTTTTGGTAAGCAAAAATATTTTATTCAAATATTTTTCGTGTACATCGTTTGACACACAAAATAATTTTTAGACTCACTTTTTACTCCCTTATTCAAATTCATTGAATAAGAGGAGAAGCCTTCTCTGATTCCTGTTGTCTCAAACAACGAGTGTTATGCCAATTTGCAACTGGCCTTGGGCCCTTTGTGTTTGCGCATTATTTCATTTGTAATCGATTAAACCTATTGATTTAATCGATTAATTTACCTTGACTAGCGAACGATTTCTCAGGCCTTTAGTTTAATCAATTTTTATTCGTCCTTTAATCGATTAGTGCTCACATCTCCATCTAATCAACTTTCCTATCCAGTTTAATCGATTAAATTGCACCCTTCGCTGAAGACCTTTTCTGCGAAGACTGCATTAATCGATTATTGGACCAACGGATATATTTCTCCACCTCTTATTTAAACACACTTCCTTGGTCATTTTTTATAACAAGAAACACTCCAATACTCCCCATTCTTGAGGTGTTAATCCTCCATCAATCTTTCCTCAAATTTATATCATTTTGAGAGAAAACTATTTGTTTTTAAGAGAGGTTTCTTGTCATCCATTAGAGCTAAACATTTTCCCATTCCTACTCTTTTGAGAGCTATTGTTGAGAGGTTGAAGAAGATTGTTCTTCTTGTTGTTCAAGATTTATGTGACTTAAGTCTTGGTTGTGAAGTCTTGTAGAGGGCATATCTACGAGCGGTTGTGTCGAGGCCTGTGGGATTCAAGTTCTCGAGTTGTAAACGGTTTGTTAAGCACCCGTAAGCTTAACGGAAGTAGTGGTAGCTTCGAAAGAGTCTCTCGGGGAACTGGACTAGCCACGAGGTGGTGAACCAGTATACATCGGTGTGTTCTTTGCCTTCTCTCTTTTATTTCCGCTGCACTTACGTTTATATTATTAATCCTGCGGTTGGATCCTCAACAACGAGGCGGTCATCATTTGCGAGCTTGGGATCACCAACCTCATCCGCCACAGCGGCGCGCCGACGATCCACTCGGCCCCACCGGACAAGCGCCTCCTTCTCTACATCCTCACCCGGATCCTTCGCCCCTGGGACAGCAGCCATACCTCGCTCTTCAACGAGGATTTGAAGGCGATTCACACCATCATGCAAGGTGCCTCGATCAATTGGGCAAAATTAGTCATGATTCACATCGCCTTCCTCGTCATGGACCTCATCGTCTCCGCCAACATCCACACCTCCGGACCAGATACGAAGATGACGGAGACTTGGATCATTCAAGATAGCACCTTCTGGAAGAAGTCCGGAGATCGAGACAATGCCGGACCGAGTCGTGCCCGTGCCCGTGCCCGTGCCCCCGCTCCCGCCTGGGCCTCTTTGCAGTCCATAGCCAACAACGTGAATCGGCTAACCGTCACGGTGGACGACATGGGGCAGTACATGGAGCGGATGGATTGGACGCTGCAACGCCAACACCACGACATGACGGCGTTCTTCCGCGGCATCAACTACGTCCCGCCGCCCTGAGACAACATCATCCTCGGCCAAAACTTTGAAGGAGAGGATGAGGATGATGACTCCTATGCTTCCGTCCTCCTCTCCCGACAAGGCCGACTTTGAAGATGCGGTGGACGGCGATCCCATGGACGTCGAGGACGACGAGGATGACGACGACGACGAGGACGAGGACGCCGACTCCTAGACTTTTTTATCTTTATTTACTTTTAATATGATTGTATTTTTTTAATTCTCATTCCGTTGTACTCCTCCAAATTTAATAAATAAAAGTTATCTTTTATCTTTTTGTTAATGTCAAAAGGGGGAAGAAAAGGGCTATGCATATACTTAGGGGGAACGTCTTTGAAAACGGGATCGTTTGATTTTAATATGACTACTTGCTTTTAAGCACAAATTAAGGGGGAACGTTTTCAAACCTTTTTGAAAATCAAATATCCCTTAGTATGCATATCCCCGTCTTGTTTGCCATTATCAAAAAGGGGGAAATTATTGGAACACGGGTTTACGCCTACGTAGTACTAAACCATGTTCGTTTTTATGACAGGTTTTGATAATGCCAAACCGCCGTGAACAAGACAAGTCGTTGAATATACAAGGCGAGAACTGTTGGTCTTATGGGGGACCATCGATCACCCTTAGGGATTCGCTACTGTGCTAGTCACGGTATCGGGTACTGACAGCCCAACCTGACGAGGTACACGAGTCGTGTATCTTGCAAAGCCCCTCCTGTCCATCCACCGCTCAGTAGTGGGGCTTTGCACTGCCGTAGTGAACTATAGGGGGTGCCCTATAGGAATCTACCTCGGCTTGGGGCTACAGAGAGATGTGGTTAAATACAAAGTGTCCACCTTCCTATCACCAATTGGTTTTAGGAAGCATTTGGCACCTCTTTAACTTCAGAACTCTGTAGTTAAGCGTGCTGGAATGGAAGTAGTCCCAAGATGGTGTTGGACATGAGTTCAAACCCCTTTTCTATTTCTTCTAGAATATTTTTTGTTTTGATGAATGACAAACAGGATGATTAATTTCAAGCTGATCGAAAATTTATTTTCGAATCGAGAAAAGGAAAGAAGGGTATCAAGAAGTTTACGGCGATATAAATCGACGACCACCCCTACGCAGATTTTTTTTTGAAGTGAAGTGAAGACTCCAAAGATTTTTTATTAAGTCTAGGAATATTTGTAAGGAAGACAATATCTTCTTCACAAACAAATTAAATTTCTGAGAGATAAAATTATTATTTTTTGAGTCAGTTGAAAAATTACTTTTCTTCTGTATAAAATATTTTATTGAGTCAGTTTCAAAATAAGTGTGTCAAAATTTCTTAAAAACATTCTTTTTAAGATTACACATTTTTTTGGTAAGAAAAATATACTTTAAATATTTTTTCGTGTACTTCGTTTGACACACAAAATAGTTTTTGGACTCACTTTTACCTCATTCAAATACTTTGAACGAGTGTTTACTGATTAAGAGAGGAGCGTCTACCTTATTTTAGTTGTCGTAAACAAGGAATAAACTCCAACTTTCGCTTCCCATCCCACTTCGCTTGGGCCCTTCGTGTCTTGCGCATTATTCCTTTATTAATCGATTAAACATTCTAAAAGAATCGATTAGATCCAATTGTTTTCTCAGCGCGTTTCTCAAGTCATGCAGTTAATCGATTAATTCTCTTCATTTAATCGATTAGTTTGGGCAGAGCAAACTAATCAATTTTTTGCTTCAGTTTAATCGATTAGTTCCAATTTTGTTTCAGGCATTCTCGCCTCTGTGTACCGTAATCGATTTAACTATCCATGTTAATCGATTAATATTATCTGGTGCATATTCTCGCTTGCTCCAACGGATTTATTTTCCTCAGCCTATTTAATCCCTCATTCTCATTCATTTCAACACACACCTCTTGCACTCCAATATATTCTTTGAGCTATATTCATCCTTTGCTTCATCTTCCTCATCAAATATTATTTTTGAGAGTTAGAAATATTTTCTTTGAGTGCTAAAGAAGTTGTCATCCATAGAGCTTAAATTCCTCAACACTACTTTGCTCAATTGTGTGAGCTTTCATTCTTGTGTTGTAAACTCAATCTCTTTTGAGTGTTGTTCTTAAGACTTGTGTGACTCAAGTCTTGTTGTTGTAAGAAAGTGAGGCTTGTGTGATTCAAGTTCTTAAGTTGTACCGGTTTTTCAAGCACCCGTTGAAGCTTGAAGATTAGTAGGACTTTCGAGAGAGTCTCTCGGAAGACTGGATTAGCCACGAGGTGGTGAACTAGTATAAATCTCGGTGTTCTTCTTTCCCTTACTCTCTTTATTTATTCCTGCGATTCTATTTTTTCACACACGCGAAAAACGCACATTTTTGAAAACAACTCTATTCACCCCCCTCTAGAGTTGCACATTTGTCTAACAATTGGTATCGGAGCAGGAAGTTCTTCGAATACGTTATTTTTCAGGAACCAAAAGATCAAATGGCATCAAGAATGTTCAACGCAGGAGTGAACGAGGGACAATCAACCACGAGGCCACCATTGTTTGATGGAACCAACTACTCGTATTGGAAGGAGAGGATGAGAATCTTTATCCAATCCAACGACTACAAGCTGTGGTTGATTGTGAAGAACGGCTGCGGAGTCCCGATGAAGAAAGTCGGTGAAGTCAATGTTCCCAAAACCGAAGAAGAGTTCACCGACGAAGATTGCAAAAAGATGGAGCTCAACGCCAAGGCAATAAACATGATTTATTGTGGTGTTAACGCGGATGACTACCGCAAAATCTCGCGGTGTGAAACCGCAAAACAAATGTGGGAGAAATTAGAGGTCACCTACGAAGGAACCGCGCAGGTTCGGGAGGCCAAAATTGACCATCTCACTCACGAGTATGAACTCTTTTCAATGAAGGAAAATGAGAAGATTGAGGAAATGTTTGAGAGATTCTCTAACATCATCAATCCCCTCAATCTTCTCGGGAAGACATACACCGACCGAGAGCTCGTGAGAAAGGTGCTGCGAAGCCTATCCCCCAAATGGCGTTCAAAGGTGGACGCAATCGAAGAAGGTCGTGACTTCCAAACAAGGACCTATAATGCTCTTCGAGGTAATCTTATTACCTACGAAACCACCCAACTCTCAAAGGTGGTTGAAGAGAGGAACAAGAGGTCTATTGCTCTACCCGCAACAACATCAACCCACAACAACGTTGATGATGAAGATGATGACAGCGACGACACCGACCTCGGACTCTTTGTCCGAAAATTCAAGAAGATGATGCTCAAGAAGGGAGCCAAGAAGAACACTCCACCCAAATGCTATGGGTGTGGTGAAATTGGAC